GCGATCCGGAAAATTGTTATGCAGGAGACGTTTACTTGCAGACATTGTAATGTTTAATTTACAACTTCCCCGGGAAATCAGTTGACTCAATACATTGTTTCACGCAAAATAACGTGTCACCACGTGACCATTAGTATAATTACAGAGAGCAGTAGTGCAGACGTGCGTAATGTGTGTCAAGTACGGATGGTAAAACTGCAACGGCAAATAAACCCTACGATTCGTAATTTCATTGTTATTTGCTGATCCGTATTCAAACGACCGCCGCATGAGTCGAGTATTCGCGTTTATGAAACTGCTAACGAAAAGCAAATTTTGCAATTCCGTCGATCCAAATAATAACGAGCGATTCCCCCAAAGCTCGCCCCGACTACCAGGACTCGGCGAAACTGGAGCACGGTTCTAAAATTGTCGCATACGAGTATCGATAAACAGTCGAACGCTCTTGTCCTTTCCTACAAGCTCCCAAATATTTCCACGTGTCTCTTCCTTTGCCGTTTCCATCCGAAAATTCATACAAACGATTACGAGGACCTACTTCGTAGACCCGCTGTATTGATTTTCCTCATCCGACAGAAGATCCGAAAATTCCTCCGAAATTCTCAACGACGGCTGCAAGAAGAGAGGGCAAAAAGCGTGGGAATAAGGATGGTGGATACTGGGAAGTAATTCAGCCGGTTTTGACGAACATAAAAAAGTGCGAAAAACCCGGCGTAAAGGAAAAAAGAAATTGGGCTCGTGAGAACGTTCCAATGATTCGGCGAAACACCCCCGGCGTGTCATTAATACGTCTGAGCGCTCCTTTGTACGACGGCTCGTTATTATACGGCCTTAACATTTTATTTCTCTAAAGATTTCCTCCTACATTTATCACCTAATCATTAATCAACGTCCACATCTCCCGCGCAGCTGATGAACAAAGACTTTCGAGATTCTAATCGGAGTTCCTACATCTGCTCCATTTTCCAAGTCAAAGGAACAGTCATCCCTTCAACATTTATAAATCTACTCCCCTTACGTTAAAACAAAGCCATATTAAGTCCAAAACGAGAAACCTAAACTACATTCCGAAAAACACAAAGAGAAAATGTTTATCGAATTAAAACTAAAAAAAATCCTACGACGTCGAAGCGAAAATAAACAAAATATCTCGACGTTGACAGAAATTTTCCACCGGAACAAAACTGCCGGAAGAATTATAGCCGTCGAAAAATGCGAAAGAAAAAAAAAACGTTATATCGTAAATGGCAAATAACCAAAGAAATTGATACTAGAAATAATTGTTCAAGAAATCAAGGTTCGCTATGGTTATCCTTTCATAATCGCTTACTTCAATCTACAACGAAGCCTTCACCATTTAGTCTTTCCCCGTTACCGATGAAAGCTCGTACATGGTCAGAACTTGAAGCATTCTCAGCGTAGGTAATTAAAAATGGGCAAAAGTTTTCGAATATGAAGCGATTCCAGGGGCGAGTCCATCTCGGCGCTGGCCGGGCGGTCAGTAGGGCGAAAGTGTGAAGAACGTGGGAACCCGAGTCGGCGGATAAACCGGGACCAGGAGTGAGTTGGCCGGTTTTTTTTACGGGCGAGCCCTCGGAGGGCCTTAACATCGACCTACCGGAGCGCAAGGGCAAAGGCCAGTCGGAATGCAGACACGTAACGAACGCGGAATGCCGTGCTATCCGCCCCGGGAACGGGAGGCGGGGAATCGCGCGGTCCACCATCGGAGTCGATTCCCGCCCGATCTCGCCCGGGCGGTTTTGCGGCTTCAAAAACGGCGACAAACGTGCTCCCATTATGAAATTAGCCCTTCATGCCCTTGCACGACTTCTAAGAAGTTAAACATCCATGCACTGAGAAAGACAAAAATTCATTGAACCGCAGAAATATTTTCTCAATTCAAAGAATAATTACCCTGACGCAAATAAACTCAAATAAATGATCATAATTCCGGAAAAACGTTGCGTCCAATTTATTCAAGTTTTTAGTCGAATGATTCTCGGAGTTGTCAAAATATTTCTTTAATATTTTCAAGGAAACATTTCACTGGTTCGATGAAACTTTTTCTTTGTCAGTGTAGATATTAATATTCTTTTAGTCTCGTTTCAGTTCTCCAGCAGAACGTAACATGGCGCCTGGTTATAAAGGAGCAAAACACCTATGTAACCGCGGAATTTTCTGCACCAGGCTTTTAAACATACAAGCTTATATGGACCGTAAGTATGCAAAGTAAGTTTATATCGGAAGGTTAATATTTGCCATGTTATTTCAGATTCTTTTCCTAGCGTGAAAGCGAAATTTAGATACAGAGGGTTTAAACAATCGAAGCGGGGGATCGCGCGATTTAACCCCCTTAAAGGGAACTACTAGATATTAATTATTCTTAATTATTCATTCACAAAATAATCCTTACACCTTTGGCCACCTCGAACGGGATCATTTCCATTTCACAATTAACATCTCCATTTCGGATAAAATAAATACCCGGAGTTTATTTTTACGCTCTCCCTTCTCGTCCCTAACAATGCGTCCCCTCTTTTCCAGGTTAAGCCGAAATTCAAGGGCTGGGTTTATTCTCGGGTGGATTTAATGTCGGCTTCGCGAAGAGGTTATGCAAATACAAGCATTCCGGCAGGATATGGTGAGATTGTGAGGGGGGTTTAGGGTAAATTCGGAGGAATTTAGTTTTAAAGGATTCCCGGAAGGAATGAATTAGGAAGAAAGGAGGGTAGAGAAGGAACGCCATCTCCTGGGTTGACGTTTCTCGCGGTGGCCCACTTCCTCATCGCGGACGTGGGTGGGAATATTTCATGAGTCACCTGTGCCGGCAACCCTCGCCGAAAAAGCCAAGCCGACTCTATTTTGAATAGAATATAGTCGGGCTTCTGGAATATAATCTTGGAAAGTTTACGGACCCCGCCGCACGTGAAACTCCTTCCAGTGGATTTCCAGGTACTCGGGAAGAACCTACACGCGGTGCGTCTCCTTAAACGCGTTATCAGCGGCGCGGTTCACCGATAAGCGAAACTCGATCCTCTGCTCCCGAGTGGGAGCCGCTTCGGACCGTGCGATTTCCTCCACCTCTCTTTAAGGGTGCCCTCTAAATCCTGACAAGTATATTTCAAAACTACGGCATTAAATGCGAATACTTTATTCTTGGCGTACCAAACTAAGTATACCAAAATTGCCAAGAGTAATGATTTAAATTACCATGCCAAGGTTTGTCAATTTATGTCGTACCCAAATTCCAAAAGTCAACGTCTAAATTAGCGTGCAAAGGTCTGTCGATTTATCTTCCACTGAAATTCCAAAAAGTAATCAATTAAATTAGCGTACAAAGGTCTGTCATTTTGCGTTATACCAAAATTGCAAAACGCGGTGATTCAAATTCGAAGGGTTTGTCAATTTATGCAAAAGTTTCACGTACCAACGACGATTTATCGGAGTTTAACGAAGCTTCATCGGAAATTATTTAAACCGTCACACGGAAAATTAAAAAGCCTGAATTTGAACTACATATACGAATGTACTATAAATTTAGGATATTCTATCAGAATAAAACTTTCGGCGATTGTTTCATGAATGTGTTAAATTCTGTTATCAACGATTTCGCTTTACAGAAAAACTTTATGATTTCCAGTTTAAAAAGGATTCAGATAACTTGCTCAAAGAATTAAAAAAAAAAAGAAGAGAAAGAAAGAAAATAAAAACGTGAAATTTTTTCGGGAAGCCAGAGTACAGTTTTAAGTACGCCGTTAAAATTTTCGTGCCGCGCGAGGCTTACCTGTAGTGCGTTAACCTTTCGCACTCGTACGTCACGATACCCGTGCCCACGCGAATTTGTCGGCCAGCTCGTCGGACCTCGGCATCCGTGCCAAGATAAATATGTCATCCGATAATTCCAATCCGACCGAGAACCCAGTAAAACTGATTTACGAATGCAAAGGGTCAAAGCGTCTCGCCTTTCGAGCGTCTCATCCGGACGACCGCGGACCATTCTTCTCCTCTTAATGCGGTCACCTCATCGCGGTATCTCGGATCGCGTGGATTTTATCATTACACGGAATATCATTTACACGAGGATCGGGGTTAAGTACCTCGACGGTTTGCGCGCGTTACACGAAGAGGAACAAGATGGAACCCGCCGTCTACCCACCCCATTCTAACGAAGTTTCAGTTCTCTCGTTCTAATTCCTTGCCACATTTCCGTGCACGGGAGAGAGAAAGAAGGCGAACCAATGAACCAATTACAGAACCCCACGGGAAATCTAAAGTAGAAATAGTAGTGCACAAATAATGAGGCGCACATAATAGTAGCGCATAAATAGTGCCGCCCACCCTGAGAAAAAAAGTTGGTTGACCCAAAGAAATATGCATGGCGTTAACAACTTTTCTATAATTTTTTTAACTTTTCTTCCCAACGAAATATTTGTTTCTTGCAGTGATAAATGACTCGGGCAATAATATATATATGCAAACGATATTCCTTTCACAACAAATCTTTTTTTCCCAGTGCAATTAGTAATGCCCAAGTGGTGGCGCATCGGTAGCGACGCACGAGCAGAGGCGCGCGCAGCTTCCTGCGCCGGGTGTCCCGCGCAGTCACGTGACCGCCGCGGTCCCCGGGGCCCGATTGGCCAGCGTCCGCGACCAATCGGAAGCGGGGATACGGCCGCGGTCCGAGGAGGAGCACCTCCTCCCCTGGCGTGTCGCGGCCCGTCTTTCGCGCCTAGCAACACGCGAGGACGCGCGAGCTCGGTGGGGCCCGGTCGTGCGCGCGCGCTACCCGCATCTCCTGCCGGGGGCAAAACTCGGGGATTCCTGACCGACTCCGAAACGCGAGACAATGAGCGCCCGCGGGGGGTGGGGGTTCTTTCGGCGGGGTCGCCAGGTATAAAAGCGCGGGCGCGTGGCCGCGCGAGTGCAGACGCCGAGGAGGGTCCGCAGGGCGCGGGTCGCCGCGAGGAGCGAGGTCAAGGGGCAGCACCCCGGGGACTTACCTTCTCCTCCAGCGCTGGGCCGGTCTCCATGGCGTGCATGATGGCGTCAGAGATGTGGACGTCGAGCTGCCTCATGGCCCGCTCCGCGTTCAGCCCCAGAGGATCGTTCCGCCCGTCCACGGCCACCACCAGCCGCTCCACCGTCTCCACGTATCTGGACCACGTCAGGTCCAGTTCCGACGCCGCCCCCGTCAGGCAACCCCTGAAACGGGACGTCGACTCGACCTGTTACCGTGTCTTCGGGCCGTTTATTTAACCTGGTTTAATTGGTTTACACGATGTAGTCGTGTTTAATCAGCCGCAGGTAAACGGTTCCAGGCTCCTGGCCCATGTGCGGCTCGACCGTTTTCCTACGTCCTTGGAATGAAATAGTACATTACGTAACAAGGGAGGAAAGTAGGCGATTACGCGCGGGGGTGAGTTTGGCGTACAAGCGAGGCGAGAGCAGTAACACGCAAGTCGTAATTGCCTACTGAGCTCCCGAGGTACGTGTACTATTTTTCATCTTCCCTTCGAACCGGAAGTTCAGCTTTTGAATGCTTGTCAAGGGATGCCTGGCGACCTGACGATATCGCGGTGGAACCGAAAAGTGGACATGTTTTTGCTAAATTGTTTACAAACTTGTAATAAACAATTATAAATCAATTAGTTGCACGAGGCATTTGTTAATAAGCACGCCCTACCCAACACCCCATCGATCGAAAGAGATTCATACACCACTAACTGTCCAATAATACTTTCACTCCAGAATTCCACTTTTAGGAGGGCAGAAAGTGACTACTTTCTTCCCACTCGACAGGCACTGAAAGTCGAACTTTCGGTGAGAGGAGGATGAAAAATAATTTATGGAAAAGTTAAATAGAACTGATTCAAAATTGTGTTCGATCTTGGATATATCCAAAAGTGACGAGAATGATAAATCAAATGTTTCAGGGATCTTGTGTCTTATTTGATCCGAATATTTCGAGCGGATCCGAATACGGATTTATGTACCTGAACGGAAGCGTTATGTAAATCTCGGAAAATCTGACGTTCGGCATCACTCGCGTGGTAAATCCAGCATCGACATGGCTCCGAGATAAAATTTTAATCCCCCTCGCTTCCGAACGCCACGCAGGAATCTTATTTCCACCTCGCTACCTCTCCAACGTATCTCGGGCGAATTATAATAAAAAGGATGCCGAAACCAAAAATCCTACCTCGGGAAGAAAACCGTAGGCGAACTGGTCCCGTCCAACGATCTTAATTCGCTTATCCGCTTACACCCTTCAAACACTTTGCTCGAGGGGATCCTCACTTGGATCCAAACATACCAAATTAAAACCACTCTCGCAACACACCGGGAACACCTTTATATTATACTACTAGCCTCGCCAATGGTACCCCGAGTGTCTTGCACGATTTAATTAAAGGATTAAAAGTTAACCCTTAAATGCATACCGTTGCCGTTCTGCAGCATCGATCTGATTTAAATATCGCAGACCGGTATTATGCACTTTAAAGTTAAGCGGCCTCCCTATCTACGATAAATCCGTCGATAGTCTAAATCCGACATGTAGATTAAAAATCTTTTCATTTTTTCTATTTCAGACTTCTCCATAATAGCCAATTTTACCACCGAGAAACCCTTTTTTCGCGAGACACTCCGGCAAATTACGTTAAACTCTGGAATAATTCAATATCTATACTTGTACAAAATAAAATATGTTTCCAAACAAATTATAAAGAATATATTTCATGGTGTCAAGATTTTCCTTAGAACCTCCAAATTCACGTGGAAAGAGTTCGAACGATTCGGTGCACCAGTTCGTAGAAATTTTGATAAGCGAGACCCCCGGATGCCACTTTCATATCACCTTAAGCTACCTGGAGGGTCGATAAGGTAGGGAGAGTTGCCTCACCTCATAACGTTGGTGCACAACCCGGCACAGGGTCGGACGTCGGTGGGGACGGTGCCCAAGCACCTGGAGCAGTAGGTCATCCTGAGGAGGGCATCGTAGCAAGCCTCCTGCTGAGCACTGCCTCCGGAGAAGAGAACTCCGTCGGTCTTGTCAAGGACCGTGCTTCCAAGGGTCAGAGCCTGGATGAGGACCCTGGTGGCCTCGAGGCTCTTCCCGACCGACCTGAGGATCCCCTCGGGGATGTCGCCGAACGGCTGGATCTCGTCCATCGTCTCGTAGAGGCAGGTCTTGAACTTGTCGGTGAAGTCCTGCTGGTGCGGGTTAACCGCCCTGTGGTAGGCAATGGGGAAGAGCTTGGTGAAGAACTCGGTGAACCTCTGCTGGAGCATGTCCCGGGTAATCGCTTGCAGCAGATCGTCGGGGGTGTTCTTCGGTGAGACGTAATCGATCATCTCCTGGTAGAGAGCTTTGATCGAGGGCCTGCTCGACACCGCCATGCTCCTATAGACCTGGTCGAAGAGGGTCAGCGTCTTGTTCTCGGACTGCCTCACCAACGTCGTCACCGTTTCTGTAACAAGAATTTCAAGGATCTTCAAAACGGTGCGAGGATCTCGAGGTTAAGGCGATGCGAAAGTGGCGTCAGGAGGGATCGCGCGCTTATGAGACTTTTCGTCGAACTGGATGTACCAAATCTTCTGAAATTTTACCATAGGAATATGGGAGTCGTAGGAAAGGTCCCGACACCCTTGAAATCCCATTTTTTAAACAGATTTTTTACAAACATTTTTTCACTTTTTATTAACGAAATTTTAATTCACGAATTTAATACGAATGAAATTTTAAATAACGATATTAACGAATAAAAACGAAATTTTACAATTTTTGAAACTTTTTTAGGGCCTCCGGATTTACGTGATAGTACTTTAAACGATGCGGTACGTCCAGTTCGGGGAGAAGTTTCATAAACGATTGATTTCTCAGACGTCACTTTCGTATCATCTCAAGCGACCATGTTGAGGGAGATTGAAGGAAAAATTAGAACAAGGAATATCGGAGAGATCTAGACACGATAAAGAAGTCTAAGCCCCGGGGCGATTTCCCGTAAAACATTTGGAGAGGAGTTACTGGACTCCTTACCACGTGAATTTACCGACATCTCAGCTGCCGGCTATTTTCAGAACCCGGTGCAAGGGAACGTCCGAAACTTTAACGCGTGCGGATCTGGACCAGAGGGGTCACTCGTCGAGTGAAGAGATCACGTTCGATCGGTTCCTCGCAAAGACCACAATGCCCGTTCCCGTTTCCAAACTCCGAAAGGAAACGGAGTTACAACCAAACAACCCGACAGCCGTTTCGATATTTACAGGGAAAGTCCATTTACGAAACTCTGCAATTCGACGAACAATTTTCTATCCTCTTCGTCTGCCCAAATACCCTAACAAAAATGCCCACGTAAATTTACATAATAATTGGTTATTCCAATGCCACGCTAAAAAGCAGTAAAATAACATTATCTCCGTAAAATCACATTCAGCATCTAACTTAAGTTAAACGAAATTACAACGCGGTGTTACATTAAATTCAAGTGGAAACGCACTAATATGGTAAACGTACATGTACTCATTTTCTCATTTGTAATTCCTCAGTTACGAGATGTATAAAAATGTATACAGATTTCCATCGATTTTCGTCAGGGCATTTGCGTAATCCTTCTTGCAACTTTATCCTGAAATTAATTCCCAAAAATAGCGTATTAAGCGAGTTATAGACCGAAGCGTGGCAGGAAGCCACCTTCGAACTCCCCTAAACCAACCGAAGACGGTCCCACGAGTGGCCGAGGACATTCCGACGAGCACTGCCAAGTTTCTCCAGGTGTAACGTGCCATCGGGCTTCATTTACAAGCATGCCGTCAAGTGCGAGCCTATACGTCCTGCTTTGGAAATCGTTCGTACCAAGGCCGCTGCAACGAGTTGCAGCCGTGCTGATTACAGAGAGGTTACCTGCAACTGGCTCGATCTCGCGTGCCCGGGGTTCAGGCCGATCTTTTTTTTTTTCGCGGTTTATAAACTTGCCTTTTCATGTCCGAGTCGGTATACCTCGATGCAGGCATCTTCCACGTAACATTATCTTCCAATATACTACGTATAAGTCGCCGTTTACGCGCCACTTTCCGAAGCACTGAAACATTACACGTTCCATTCTACGCCGATGTTTCAGTGATTACAGTCGAGCGGTTAAATAATTACGCACTTTTACCCTAAATCGTAAAACATAAGAAAAGACACGATGCAAGTATTACGATCCTTCAAAGCGCGTCCAAATATTTAATCTCCACATTCACGTCCGTTTTCTATTTATTTTTTTTCAACAAAATTCCAGGTTCCTGCTACATAATCATATAATCCCCACTTTTATATCCGTTTTTTTAATCAAATTCGACCGACTGAAAACTCCGAATTTTAATCCTTAACTGTAAAATTAAAAAGACTCTCCGCGACACAGATATCGCGATCCTTCAAAGCGTAGTCAAATATTTAATCTCCGCTTTCATCTCCGCTTTTTCTTTTTTAAGTAAAATTCGAGCGACTAAAATAATTACGTATTTTAATCCTTAACGGAATTCAAAGGCGTCCCTCGGGAAGCCGATATTACGATCCTTCAAAAATACGCAAGTATTTAATATCGACTTCAACATCGCTACATTTGGATACAATCCGAGAAGTCTCCAAGCATCATCCAATTTCCGCAAATAATCACCGATCGAGATATATGTATCCATTTTTTAATAAAATTCCCGGGTCAAGTCAATTACGCAGTTAAATCCATAGAGTTCAGAAGACCCTCTCGAAGCCTAATCTCAACCCTTCAAAATGCCCAAATATTTAACACCCATTTTTACACGCCACGTTTAGTCTCTAAGTGTCATACAATTTTGCAAAAAAAAGAGCAATCCAAGAAATAATCCGAAGATCGTGTCATGATTCAAGAGTGCAGAGCGTAAGGCGTGCATTGAAGCTGCATCCTCAGGGGATGCGATAGCAATGCGCGACGGAAATGAATGGCGAAGATTCGAAGGGAGAGCATTTCCGGCGAGTAAAAGAGAGAGAGAGAGAGAGAAAAGAACGATCTCCCTTTGAGGCCCCGATTAAATCTCCGGTCGACACGTGCTCACGGGCCGGCGCGTTCACGTTTTTCATTCACGCTACGCGGCCTTTAGAATTTCGCTAAGAATTAAGAGATTAGGGGCCTAAGCACCAGTGGCGGAGGTATTAACACTCCCACGAACGCACAAGCAGCGTTAGAGGGAGAGATACGAGGAGCAGGACGAGGAGGGTGCAAGCCAGGAATATACACTTCGGCATCTCGGCATGCGGCACGTCGTCGCGTGCCAGGTTGGACGATCGCGAATGCGACGACGTTCTCATCTGTTGCTCGTCACGACCGACGGTCGGCTTCGACAAGACGCTGGCGATATTTAAGGTGATATGAAAGTGACATCTGAGAGGTCAATCGTTTACAAGTCTTCTAGGAACCAGACGTGAATTTTTAAAAATGTTCCCACAAGGCCCTAAGAAAGGTCTTGAACGTCCATGCACTGAGAAAAAAATGTCATCGAATCAAAGAAATATTCTCATCCATTGAAAGAATTATGATTTCACTCGAAGAAACTCCAAAAAATTACCGTAATTTCGAAGGATTTATTCGAGTTTCTTTCAGTGATATAATTATACTTGGAATTAACAAAATGACATTTAATTCTCGGGGTGGTATTTCATTTTTCATAAAAAAATTAACACTACTGTTTATAAAGAAATATAAAAAAGAAAGTGGAATTATATAGATGTCGGGACCTCTCTTAAGGCCTTCGTGTTCGGGTGATAAAATTACGAACGATTCGGTACGTCCGATTCGGAAGGAAGTTGCAAAACGGATTGACCCCTGGGATGCAACTTTCATGTCGCCTTAAGGGAGAGAAAAAAGGAGGAATCAGATCACGAAGGGGGAATAAAAACGGGATTAAATGTAAGTGGCGCTTACAGGGTGAGTCGGTGATTAGATAACGTTCTTCTGATTAAAAAAAGGCGACCCAGACGTACCTCTTAGGGCGTCGGCAGTGGTCACCAGGAGGCCCCGCAGACTCATACTATGGTGATGGATCGAATTGTGAAAGTCCTCTTTGGCCCGATGACGAAAGTGCTCCTCGACCGTTCGGTTGCAACAGGGCCCTCCGCATATAGCTGGAAGCAGAGAGAAAAAAATTACATGAATTAACGTTATTTTTCCACGTTTTACCCCCAGGATAAAATGTTCAGTCACTTAAGGGGGCATGAGAGCTCCCCAAAAAAAAAAAAGACCAAGGACAAGACCTAAACGAGCGACGAAAATAATTCCAGCGACTGTGCACAATACATTTTCCGCGACAAACTATTAGCATAGAAGAAAAGAAAACACACAGATCCTTAAGAAATTCGTAAAACCATAAAATAAAATTTGTCTCAAATTGTAATTGATTAAATTTTCAGAACTCGGCAATGCGTTATTCGCTTTTCATCTGCTCAAAGATTTTGGTACTTGAGGTTGATTGCACAGTTGCGCACCGTTTTTTTTTTTTTTTATAACATTTCCCCAAGACGTTAAACGCGGCTAGCGGTTGCTAACCACCATAAAAGAAGTTCCTCTAGTAAAAAAGGAGTTTTCTCCTAACTAATCGCGACACATTAACGAGTTTTACGAGCGACTCGATCTAGATACTCGAGCTCAAAGTCCGGCGACGTAGCCAGCTCGCAAAACGACGCTCGTATTTCCTGAGATGGACGTAGTCTTCGTTCTCGGATAGAAATAACACGTACTCGCCATTTCGCCAGGAAGCCGAACGTCTCCCCTAAGGAAAACCAACACGGAGTAAGTAATTACGTTTTCGCCATTGCAAACGCGATAAATGAAAAAAGCAGAAAAGCGTCGTAAAATCCGTTAACGAGTGCTCGTGGACAGCTTACAATGAAAATCCCTCGTCCTTTTATTGCTCTCGTGACTCATTTTTAATAACAGCCTCCCAGCAACATCATCTCGCACGATGTATCATACTTGAAGCGACACTTCTCATAAATATGGTAAATCTTGCGACACGGCGCGGCTCTAAGACCCATATTACGAGTTTAAGTCCAAACTGCAACATCCGGCGAAGGAATTTCAACCGTTAACGTGCCTCCGCGTATAATCCAATCGCGAGTGCACGAATTTTTCGCGGATGATTACTCGAGGGGAAGTCGTAGGTAGGGCTCGATTGAAAGTCCCATTTCGTGCGACGTTCTCCATTCTAGGTCTCGCTAATACATATCGGGACCTACAATCTCTAATGAGACGAGTAATCGTCGTTTAAAATTGAAAGAAACTGCGGGTACAATTTTCCACGCCGTTATCCGAGTCACGAGAGCCTTTTATCTCTCCCCCCGGTGACGACAATTGAGAGAGTCACTCTTGAGAGATTTTTAATTCTATTTACTTTTTTAGATAATTTCCTCTAGATGCACGTCACTCATACATTTTGCCGCCTCTGTACTGTATAAAATCGCGGCGACACGTTTCATTTAATAATGGTGACACTTTATTTTATAATTTAGTTATCAGGGATTTACTCCGTGATTAGTACACCAATAGTTTCTTTTTGGGATTTAGAAATTCACTAAAACGTAAGAGGCGTAATACTGGTATTAAAATCTTTTAAGATATAGATTGAATTTATTTTGTCGGAAGCTAGTCGACAAGAAAGTGAGTCAAGTCGATGTCAAGTCGGCTGATAACCGACGCGCAGTTCTGAGATAAAATCATTTCGGCGACACGTCATGTCCGCAGAAAGGGATGCAGCGCGGAGGAAACGTGTCCAAGTCGAAAACACAGCCGACCCTCCTATGCAGTCTTGCCACGATAAGTACATGCAGCCCACCTAGGTACTTGTATACGTGCAACCACTTATGCAACTCGGTAACGTAAACAGGAGGGTGCAAAGGTATACGGCGTACCCCAGATTCGTGATTTTTCATTCGGTAAAAATGGACGACCGTCAACCCAATCTTTGCACGCGATAGTCGATGGACTTTAAGCACATTAACTTTCCGAGTTAATTATACACACAATCGTGCCAATATATAAAGAAATACCGTGAAACGTTCCGACACTGGTATATGATGTTAATTATATATTTATCTCTAGTAAGATGACTCCGAGTTTATTCGATCTGGTTTTCAGACTTTAACCCCGGGGAAAATGCAGTCCTGAGGGGAAACTCGATTAGACAAAAATCCTTTGGCACATCATTCTGCACAATTTTCGTAGGAACCGTTTTCCCGTCGTTAAAACGGAGATTTTCCCGAAAAACGGAGTACACCCAGATCCTGTAGGGGCTAAGAAAATCGCACCGCTCGAAGAAAATCTGCGTTCCCCTGCTATCTCTTATTCCCAGCTGCTTCCAAAATCATCCTTTATAACTTTTTAAATATCGAAGCTTATAAGTAAGCTATATTCGAATCGCGAAGCCATCTCGGACAGTGTCTCATCATTGAAAGGAAAAGTGGACACGCTCAAAAAGATCGAACGCGATTGATAAGGGGCGCGCAATTTCCCTCGCAAACGGCACTGCGCATGGCGGAAAACGAAACCTTCAGCTACTACCCACTAAACGAGCAAAAAAGACTAGAAAGAGGATTCCTCTTCGTCCGAATAAATCAGTCCTCCCGGACTGCGGTGCTATTTATTGCGGCCAAATAAAATCTGCGCGTGGAGGATTCGTACTCCGAGGGCTCGAATAAATTTCGGCCGACTTTAATAAATATCGCGACGCACGGTGCGTCCCGAGGGAATTGATTAATTCGGATGGGAATAAATACCGCGAGGTTACGTCTCGGCGTCGACGTACAAAATCGCCGATCTGCAAAAAACCGAGTCCGATCTTAACGCGCCCCTTCGCCGACAATTTTCCGGTCGTTAAAAACCCGCGGGAGGCTAACCATTTTTTCTCAACGGCTCGCTTGCAACACTTCTGTACGCCAATCAATTAATAAATCGCTAACATTGATTATCTGGCTAATATTTCGCAATATCCCGATAAGTTGCGACCCTTCGCGCGCAACGCGTGACTGCGACTTGAATGTTTTTCAAAGTAACAACACAAAAATACTTTTTCCATATCAATCAACTACTGAATCGCTGACTTCAGCTTAACAATCACTAATCCGCTAATCAATCGCTAGCTTTAATTTAAAAATTCTCTAATCAGTTAATAAATCGCTACCATCGATTTCCTGCGAAATATCTCGCGATTTAACGATATATCGCCGCCCTTGGCGCCCAACGCATGACTGGCATTTCGTTTTTTTTTTTTTTAATATCACAATAATAAGGATATTTCCCCCCGACAATCGCCTAATAAATCGGCGATCAGCTGGTAAATCGCTGGCATCGATTATCTGCAAAATATCTCACAATTCCCGGCCAGTCGCCGCCCTTGGCGCGCAACGCATGACTGGCACCCCACTTTTTCGCAGTATCCCAGAAAAGGAAAAGGAAATTAAATTTCCCATTGTTCCTGGCCATTTTCCCAAGTATTTCTCGCCGTTCACGATCGGCCGAGATCGGCCGATCAAACCTCCAGCTGCCGGCAAGTTTGCGGCAACGCGTCGAGCGGCCGAGTTAATTGCCGTAATAACTCGAGCAACGAATCGTGGCTCGACCGAGTTAAGGGCAACGAGAGCCATTTCCCCGCAGCGGAGAAAGAGAGAAAGGGAGAGCGGAAAAAGAGAAAGAGTGAGGGCGACGGAAAAAGAAAAAGAAAAGAGAGTACCCGACGACGCACTGGCATTCTCCGCGTATTTCGACACGTGGGCCGGTACGCGGACTTAGGAGCGATTCCATTTATTTTCCGCGCATAATTCGAGCCGGGGCGCGGTGAAAAACCGCGGTAATTGAAACGGCGCGTGCAAGACTTACAGGCCTCCTATAATTCTATTCGGACAAATTAGCACGGCGAGATTCGTTATCGCGCGAAGGTGGTAACGAATCGTCGAACAGGACTCCGCAAGGGGCCGGCCGATCTTGATGTCGGGCCCGGAAAAATTGAATTATGCAAATCCTACGGCGGGCAATTCGTTTCACGTGACGTTTCGTATCTCGGCACGCATAACTGCTGTATTGTGGCTAAACAAGCGACGCCACTCCGAAGGGGAGCATCGATGAGCAGGGACGTGCGCAAATCGAGCTCAATCGTTCGGTTGTTAGCTCGCAAATTGGGTTGCGACCTCGCCTCGCGGTGTCTCTCCTTCTTTTTCCCGTTTAATCTAGCCGGGCCGTGATCTCTCCATCTTTGAGTTCGCTCCTTGAGTTAAGGAACGGAGCCGAGGGGCCATTCACTCGGAACCCAGACAAAACGACGTCCTTCTTTGAGAGCCGATTGCCATTGATTTCACGTGATGAACGATATAAATCAGGCGATACGTGACGTTTGGCATGGAAATATCTGTGACAATGTCTCTCCAACTTGTTAAGATTTACAGTGATTTATAATAATCTGCTTGGAATCTCCCCAGTACATTCGTTGAAAAACTCATTCATAACTGAATAAACATTCATTGAACCAAAGAAATATTTTCTTAATTTAAAGAATAATCATTTGACCCGAACAAGCTGAAATAAATTGTCATCATTCCGAAGAAACGTTGCATCCGATTTATTCCAGTTTATTTCGGTTAAATAATTATTCCTTAAATTAACAAAACATTTCTTTGGTTCAACATCATTTTCTTAGTGAAATATTAATTATTAGTTTTACGAAGTAATGTAATGGCTTTTGTTGTTTTACGGCTTTGCTTTTGGAGTCCTTGGAGAACCGATTGTCACTGATTTCACGAGATGAGCATAATTAAGACCGTAAATGACGCACGGCATCGAGATTAAAATTTCTGTAACGTTTTACCGATTTCTAACGAATTCCAGTGATTTCCAGCATTCCTCGTACGATTTCCTTCGTACCGGATGATCTACTGATTTCAAGCGATTCTTAACGAATCATATCCTTGTCGTCTCAAAGAATTTCAACTTATTTCATATGAAGATACTGCTAACGACTTTCATTCTTATTTGTTCACGATTTTTGTCATTAAATCTGGACCATTTCCTAAGCGAATATCCTCTCAGGGAAGCAGCAACTTGGTGACCGCGAATCCCAATTTCCAGGATCCGGACTTAAACCTGCACTCCTTGCATTAAACTGCACCGAGATGACAGGTATTCCCGGTTCCTCTGCAGGTAGCCAACGGACAGCTGCACACCGACGACATTCTCAGGACTCGGGAACAGGATATGGGCGGGAACATTCTGGCTCGGAGAATCTTCCCCAGGATCAGGACCTATTCATAATTTGCGTTATCAAGCGATACTTAAAGGAGCGATCTTAATCTCGATTCAGAAGCGGTGCTTTGAGGATCGGTCAAGGTGCGGAGTGCCTCGTGATGTGGCCGACTTAAGGACTCAAGAGGAGCAAGGACACCGGCCCGTTTGTTCCCTGTGAGGACCTTCGTCCTCGCCCTCCCTCTCTTTCTGGTCCTCCGATCGACCATCGACTCGGAATTCGCTCAAAGAGCCTCGAGGACAGCGGCGACTCCGAGAAGCGAGTCGAAGGATTAATTCGATCACGAAATCGTGCGTTTTGATCCTGGAAATTATTGGAACCATTATTATACGTGCCACATTGAATCCTTCGAAACTAGGGCCAACGGTAGAACTCGTTAAGAATCATCTGCAATAGAATCAGTTAAATCACGTGGTACGAAGGATATCATCGATACGTTACAGAAACTGCAATATCGAGCATCGCTTACTATTGAGTTACAATGCTAATTACGTGAAATCGATGGCGATCGATTCTCAAAGGACACCGTTTTGCCTGATTTACGAGTGAAATGCGTAATACCGAAAATCAGCAGGAAATTACTAGACCATTATTCTCGAACGTAACACGTTGAAATCACTAAAAACTAATGACAACGAACGAACTCGTTAAGAATCACTTGAGCCCAACGTTAAGATCATCTGGTACGGAGGAATTTTCAGACATATCAGAAATCCCTGAAGATCGTTACAGATCACCGAGACATTCTTAAATCAACTTTACGTTCGAACATGACCTACCACTAAATACATTGTTTATGATATAAAATCAATGGGAGTCGACCCTTAAAAACAATACTCTCGCGATCCGCCTGCATTCCTTGAAAACAAAGCTCTTGGGTCTTACATTTGGCAGGGTCGGCTCCTCTTCGGAGGTCCGGAGTCTGGTCTTGGGTCGGGGTCTGCAGGAGGTCATCGGGCTGGAGGACGGGTCCGAGGCGGTCGCAATCGATCGGGAGGGTGTCGTTTCCGGCGGCGAACTCGGGGCGCCTCGACCTCGGGGAGAGGCCGCCGACGCGGCCGGGCCAGAGGAGCGCGGCCAGGACGAGGAGGGCAGCGGCCGAGCGATCCCGCGCCCCGACTCGCAGCTTCCCCGTCATCGCGTGGTCCGAAGTCCGACTGGGCTCTAGGAGGCTAGAGCGGGCGTCCGCCGCCTACCATCTACCGTGCCCGAGTGACGGGTCGCACCTGCGACGCTCTCGACCGGAGCCTCGGTCCTCGCGGTCTCGGTCGCCGGGTGGCGCAACGCCCTCGCGGGCCGACCTCAACCTCGACCACCAGGTGGCTCGACGGTCGGAGTCCTCCTGGCCGCTCCGACTCTCCCCGCGCGACCTACCTCCCGTATACACACGTGCACCCGCACGTGCGCACAAGCCTGCGAGCACACTTCGTCGCGCCTCCTTCGACCTTTCCTCAATGCAGCTCAGGCGAGCGTCTGCGACGAACTGACCGCCGGGCCGCCGAAACACGGCGCGCGAACGAGACGGGCCGGCGGCGCTGAGTGGCGGGGAAGAGGAGGGGCAGCCGCGGCTCCACGCCATTGGAGGGCGCTGGTACTCCCGGCATTCGATAGTACTCCTCGCGGCGTCGCGAAACGCCGCGAAGGTCGTTCTCCCGCAGCCGCGCCGGAGCCGACTCGGAGTCGGAGGAACCGGCGGCGAGGGCGCTATCTATGCACATGGGCTCGTACCTCCGCGCGGTTGCTACGGGGGAACGAACACCGGCTTCCTTTGGCAGCGGCTCACGCTCTTCGTTTTTCGTACCCTTGCCTTTTATTTGCTACCTCTCCTTTCGACTCCGGCCATCTGGCTGTATTTGGGCAGAGCCAAGCTCGGCCCGTTACGAGATAGCGAGACGCAGGAAATGTGAAAATGCGAATTTCGTGACGGGCGCGCTTCCGTTTCACTTTTGCTTGGTTTAGACGTAACGCTTTTTTTTTAAATCGAGGGATGGAGTTTTTAGTTGAATCTTAGAAATTCTTTAGGACAAAGACTTCGGGCGATTTAAGGCTTCTTGAAATGTCATGTAGGTTTTTGTGGTGGGCTTATCGCTTTGCATTTATGACTGGTTGCGCTCTAGAAAAATTGTCTGCATTCGCAAATGAGGTAACGCAGGGATTCACGACGGTTCTAGATCCCTGCTCCAACTGGGCGTCGTCGGGTACCGGTGGCACCATTGGGAGCGTTCCCTATGAATTAACTCGCTGCACTTGACCGTAAAGATAAATCAGTTAAGAGAAAATACTTGTGGCGCCGCGGAATACTCTGTGGAAGTTGGGTAACTACCTTCTTTTTGGTTGGTCTTCTCTCTAGTTTAACCAACAGAGATGAGTTGGGTGATTGCTCACGGGCAGGGTC